CCCATAAGAATGACAACATACCTCCACATATGATTCAAATAGAAATACTTTTACAATACTCCCCCATAATGAGAATATTCATAGAATCCTAAGAAGCGATACAACCACCATCTACGAAGAAATTATATCTATAAATCTCCATACTTCTAATCCATCATCGTAATTCCTATTTATCCCTCTATCTGCTCGATTGAAATCATAAATCTACAAGAAATATCATATCCCTCGGTAGCGCCAACAATCCAGAAATAATATGGCAACCGAGCGCACATATTAATGAGAGAAAAAATAATCCCATCAGAATCTAGGCAAATATATACTACAAGCGCCGGGTTTATCTCGACCCACCCGGAGTAAAGTCGGCCCAACCCCTGTGGCATACAGCAAAACAAGGCAGAGGAAGGAAGTCACCCCAGGTGGTGTAAAGTCGCCCCAGCAACAACGAAACCCCAGGGGCACATGGCTTTTGAGAGCTTTCGCACCTTTTTACAAAAATGGCACCAGAGCTGTGCACAGTGGGTTGAGAAGCCTTAAAGCATCATTGGTAAGCGGTTTGAAGTGCGAAACTGCAGGGGCACATGGTTTTTCGGATGGTTTTACGGCCGTTGTAGGGTTGGCAAGCATGGGTTGGACTTGAGCAACTTTGATCCGATGGATTTCCCCCCTGCTAAGCAACTTTGATCCGATGGATTTCCGCCCTGCTGAGCAACTTTGATTTTTTCTAAAGTTGCTCCGATGGATTTCCCCCCGTTCGCCCCTACTGCGAAACTTCCGAGGGGCTTCCCCCCATTCGACCCTGCTGAGCAACTTCGCATGCAGTGTGAAGGAAAATCCACTGTTTTGGGGAGAGGCATCCTCGTGCGAGGTGAGGTAAGGCACTGGCCTTTTGATGTAAAGAATACTGCTTGGGCCTGGAGGCCTCGGGAGGACCCTGGGAGGCCCCTGCGTTTCTAAAAGCCCCTTGCGAGGTTATTGAGAGGCCTCTCTGTTAGGGTTCTGGGCAATCTCCTCTACAGGGGGGTCCTCCCCACTGCAGCACGTCAACGACGCCAAGCAGGGCAAGGCCATAATCACGGTGGCAGGGACGGCAACACATCGGCAAAGATTGTAAGTCACGCCGATTATTTTTTGAAATTCTACTTCATGGGTTGTCGTCTTTCCCTAGTGGCACGCCCCACACAAGCCATCTGAGAACATAGCCCCATGTGACATGGTGTCGCGCTTTTTACAGCGTCCCCGAGGGGCACACTGGGATTGGGAAGAATTGAAAATTCGATTCATTTCTTTCAGATCGTAGAAAATGGTCCGCCGAGGTCTCAGGCACCAGCAGATCAAGGCCATCAGCAACCCCAAAGAAGAGAAGTTCAAATCCCACGCCTTAGAACTGAGCCCTAACCCTAAACCATATCCTTGTTCCGAGTGATTGCTGGTTGGCCAGCGTGGGAATACAAGCAAATTCGTGTATATATATATATATGTACACATACATAGAGAAATATTAAGATATTGAAAAAAGCCATGCGCATTTCTCACAACCAAAAAGCAATAAAAATAATATCATTCAATACGAACATCATAAAGACACCATTTTCAAAGAGGAAAACACATTTTGTAAGAGTAGTAGTCACAGCCTGCGACCAAGCAAGAGCATTTGCTTCACAGTCTTAACTTGCCACTGCCCACTGTACCCCGCGCACTCTTTGGTGCACCAAAAAACCCAGACCCCTGGGAGGAGCCAACGAAAATGGTCCCTTAAGGTTCCTAAGAATGACTCAATAGTAGTATAGGGTACTATTTGGGGTTTCAATCTTTTTGGATCCTCCCAAAAGTCTGGGAAGTCGCTGCGCCCCCACAGATGCAGTGGGCATTTTCTATTTATGGGAACGAGGCTTCGTCCAGCTCAAAATCCTGATATTGGATGTGAGCACCGGAGCATGTACTTCTGGGAGCGCCGCCGCAGCCGGTGAAGACAATCATGTCACAGTGTATCTTCCTCTCGTTCTGCCATTTTGCCTCGACACCGGCACTCAAAAAAAACTTCTTTTCGACTTAGTGCCTCCTCCCTAAACCCTAAACCCTAAACCCTAAACCCTAAACCCTAAACCCTAAACCCTAAACCCCGAAAAGCTGAAACCGGCTTTTGCCGAGCTGCGCAGTAGATCAGCTGCATGTTGTGGTTCGGGACGTTGTTGTTACCACCCCGGCCGCCCCAGGGCTCATTGTCGCAGTAGCACTTCCACCCACTCACTCCTAGACTCCCCTTAGAACCGAAAAAAAAGAATAGTGCTTTTAAGTATCTTCTACTCCCCTTAAGAACCTTAATCAAAAAAAAATTTTTTCAGTATCTTCTAGGGTTTTGTATAAACCAAAATACTCCTATACTCCCCTTAGAACCTTAATAAAAAAACAATAATTTTAAGTATCTTCTTGGGTTTTATATAATATACTCCCCTTAGAACCTTAAAAAACTAATATTTTTCAATATCCTCTTGGGTTTTATATAAACAAAAATACCAAAATAATATTTTTAAGTATCTTCTTGGGTTTTATATAAACAAAAAATACTAAAATAATATTCTTAAGTATCTTCTTGGGTTTTATTTAAACAAAAAGACCAAAATGATTTTCAAGGGGGGTATAGACTCTCGTCCATGGATAAGTGGCCTGGCCCTCATTTGGCACAGATGCGCAAATCCATGGGAAGAGGACGCCAGTGAAAAAGGCCACTGGGGCCTGGCCTTGCGGGCTCTTGACATTGCGAAAGGTTAGGGTTTAGGGTTTAGGGTTTAGGGCTTAGGGCTTAGGGCTTAGGGCTTAGGGCTTAGGGTTTAGGGTTTAGGGTTTAGGGTTTAGGGTTTAGGGTTTAGGGTTTAGGGTTTAGGGTTTAGGGTGTAGGGTTTAGGGTTTAGGGTCCTGGCCTTGTGGGCTCTTTACCTTGCGCCAGGTGTGTAGGCTGGCGTCATTGCCTTCGCAGTTGTCACAGTTCCGGAGCCAGTCCTTGGCCGCTTCCGCGGCTTGCTCAAAGAAGGTTAAACCCAAGAAGCGAGAAGAACCAGGAAAAATGGGCCGGACAAGAACAAGAACAAGAGAACACGCACAAGACTGGATGAGCCGGGGGGCAACTTTGCCCCCTAAACCCTAAACCTTAAACCCTAAACCCCAAACCCTAAACCCTAAACCGTTCTTAGTTGGGGGGGCCCTCAGATGCATAGCCCAAATAAACCCCCCCTCGACCCTGAACCCTAAACCCTCTCAGTATCTGAGTGTTCCTGGGGGTATGTAACCCGAGGTTCCCGAAAGCTCCCCACTACTCCCTCAAGCTCCTTAAGCTTCCCGACGGCTCCTTAGGTACCCACCCCCCTTGAGCCCCTAAACCCTAAACCCTAAACCCTAAACCCTAAACCCTAAACCCTAAAACCCTAAAACCCTAAAACCCTAAAACCCTAAAACCCTAAAACCCTAAAACCCTAAAACCCTAAAACCCTAAACCCTAAACCCTAAACCCTAAACCCCAGTAAGAAGAACCCTATACATAAAGATAGCCGTGGGTCCATAGCCATGGGCTTCACCGATGTCGCGCCCTCGGCATCCACGCCAATGTTATCCCAAGCAATGTAAAGGCCTGGGCTGGGAGGGTTGCAATGAAGTAGGGTATATATTTCTTGTACCCCCAAAAGGACACCAGGTATATACACTCACCAATATTAAAAAGGAACCTTATGTACACTCACCAAAAACAGAAATATCAACCCTGCTTCAAATGGGTCTAGGGTTTTGAAGGAGGTTGCGGGAACGGCGACTACGCAGCTTCTTTTCGGCCGCTAAGGTATCGCTCAAGGCCTACAGGGTTGCGGAATTCAAGACTCTAAGAAACAAACCTAAGAGAAAAACCCTGAACCTGCTGCCTTGTCTTAAGGGGGGTTCTGAGGGATCTACACGAGAGGGAAAGAGCAAAAGGATGACAAACACAGGATCACATGGACTCGGCGCTATACAATTGGGGTTTAGGCTCAGGGGCCCCTAAAGGGGGATCTAAAGAGACCTTACACCCTAAACCCTAAACCCTAAACCCTAAACCCTAAACCCTAAACCCTAAACCCTAAACCCTAAACCCGAAACCAAACCCTAAACCCAAGGCGGTTTAAACGGGTTCAGCGTGGCTTTTTCTGTAACTTGCGGCCTGCATCCCACCACTTGTCGCTTTGGTAGCCTCTCCACCATCCGCACTGGTACCTAGACCCCAGGAAGGGTCTGAGGTCTAAGGTTAGGGTTTAGGGCTTATAGAAATTGTATAGGGTTTTGGTCCCAAAAAGTGTTGAGCGAAACGTTTTCAGCGAAACGTTCCTTTTTTACAAATTAGTTGTTGTTGGGGGGGGGCAATCATTCAAATTTAGGAAATATTCCGAAATTTTATTTCCATTTAGAATTGAAATTGATATCTTTTACTATCTGAAGATTTGCTAGATATTCGATTGGACATATTGGACTTTCATTTTTATGTGAGGCTTTCCCAAATCCATATGTCGCATTGGTGGGTCCCAACATGTTTTGAGTGAAACGCTTTGAGCGAAATGCTTTCATTTTAGATATGAGGTTGACAGTCTGTTTTAGAACCTAATGTACATGTTTTTGGGCCCCTCCCGGCCTTCTTGGCCGGCCTCCTGGGACTCGTTTGGTGTTACCCCCCCCCCCCCCCCCCCCCCCCCCCCCCCCCCCCCTCCCCCCATCGAGCGGCTAGTGTGCTGTTAGCAAGCACCCAGCAAGCCCTCGACACTCAGCACGGCCTCAGCAGCTGCTCGAGCAATCGAGCATCTGCCGAGAGCCTACCGAAAGCCTACCGAGCGCTTAGCGAGTGCTTAGCCAGTGCTTAGCAAGAAATGCACTAGAAGTCTCCCGATTCAGGAAAGCAAGCGTCCATGCTCACTAAGAGCTTCGTGGGGGGGAGGGGGGGGTATAGGAGGGGGGGGGGGTAAGCTGTCCATGATTAAGTATATTGAGCATTTGGCCTCCCAGGCGCTGTGGATGAATGTACTTTAACCCTTCTTGTCAGCGGTTTAGACAAATAAGCTGGGACAATTCAGAATGATAATGAATGATACCACATACAATTTCTATTTACTTAGTCTTGAGGGTTTAGGGCTTAAGGCTTAGGGTTTAGGGTTAGGGCTTAAGGGTGATTAGAAGGGAACCCAAACCCTAAAACAAAAACGGGGAAGAACGGCCGACTCTGGGGCCCAGAGACTTTCCGAAGGTTTGCTGGACGCCAGGGTGGACGAAGGAGCACTGATTGTCTTGAGCTGGGTAGGGGTCGGTTTTCGAGCACTGCCCTGGATTGCCCGGCTCTTCGAAGTGCTCGAAATAATGCACATCGCCACCGCAGTCGGTTGCCTGAGCACCTGCGAGGTCATGGCCGTGCACTATCCACACATCGGTACTTTGCGCTGCTCGGTAGGCTTGGTAGGAAGGCTCCTCTTTGCCCGCGTGAGGCACGAATGCGTAGGTGGTGTAGGGCGAAGAGTCCTGCCAGCTTGGCTCCTGCTGCGAAAACGGTGTATTGGGCCAGAAGGGATAGGGCGTGCAAGAGCCTCCCTTTCCGGCGCAGTTCCCATCGGCCTGGGGCCCCTGTTTGCACTGGAATGGTATGCTTTTCACACCCCGGACGCCGACATAGCTGCTGTAGCTCTTGTGCCTGACCCGATTCCATACTGTGGCCCAGCCTCCCATTTTGCGTGGCCGTCGCCCATTCACGTGTACAGACAACAAGGCGGCTTCCTCATCGCCGCATGCACCTGACAGCACAGAACCCTGATCCCGAAGATGTGGCCAGTACTTGTACAATCGTGAGAGTTTACGAGTGCACATCAGAAAGCCAGTCATAACCCTGATCAGACCGAAGCAATGAAAGAACAACGAAACTAAAAAGGGTTACGAGCGAAGCCCAGGAAACCTTTCAGGCAATCCTTTGCAGTCTCCGCCGCTGCGAGAAAGAGCAGGACCGCCACGACACGGACATGGAGCATCCCTACAGTTGCAACCCTCTAAACCCTGTGAACCCTATAAATCCTATAAAACCACCTTACTTAATGGCGAGCGCTCAATTGAGGCAGATTCGAGCCCTCTCATGGAAAAAATCCGCAGTCGTCTGGGTGAGAGCTGCTATTTCGTAGAAGTTCAACCCCACCCCCAAAAAGATGACGGGGCGCTTAGGGTTAATTGGGGTCTACAAATAGGGCCTGTAGGGCTTAGATGGGCTTAGATGGGCTGAGATGGGCTTAGGGGTCAATAGGGTTTAGGCTGGGTGCGATTTCCCCTATACCCCCGGGCCCTAAAATGAGAGTCTTCCCTGTCATACGGACAGCTGAACCAACGCCTTCGATGACACTGGCGATGGTGAAAACAAGGCCAGCTAGTTGTTTTGTTCTGTCTGCTGTGCGGCACCTTGCCACTTGTGAGCAAGCGTTTGCCACCATGAGCCACGTGTGGGTTCAGGGTGGCAGGCCAAGTCATGGGGGCATGCTGAGACTATGAGCTCAATGCAGCAAGAGCAAGATCAGCAACCCTCTTATGCGTTTGCGTCGAAAAATGCCACTCATCGATCCACAACGCTCCATATGGATTCTCGCACAGACGAGTCCCATTCGCACATGCGGCGACCACGTTGTCATAGCCGAAACAACTGGGGCTCGTTGTTATCTCAACAAAGAGACTGTTGACATCAAATTTGGTCACGTCGGCGTCGGCATATGTCGTGGCAAACTTCGCAAGTTTGGCATCAAAGAAAGCTTCGAACTCCTTGCTTAGAATTCCATATGCCGCTCGTTGTTCTGCCGTTTTCGTGGCAGCATCCGGATGGAGCAACATGTCCACGATGTTGGCGATCAAGAACCGTCTTGCCCCGGCCTGGGAGTAGAGTGTCGCAGCGCTCCTAAACATGTTGGTGGCCACCTGCCTCGCGACACTGGTCAGCGCCGAGATCGAATATTCCTTCCGCTTCACAAACCACCAAAAATCATTGTAACCCACCATGATGATAAACAAAGTGGTTGCCGGATCATCTTGCCTCGACTGGTCCAAGTATGAGTCGACCTGCTGTTTGACCGCGGGAACGAGCCCATCAATGAAGGTGGAGTGGGCGGGGATAAAGTCGTTGTTTGTTGTTGCTCCACCCCATGCAAAACCGTTCTCCGTGGACACGGCCGTGCCCAGCATCATCCCCAAGAAGTCGAGGTAGTTCCTTCCATTAGAGTATCGCCCCATCCAGAAGGGGGGGCTTGCTGGTTGCGTATAATTGGACGCCTTCCAAATATTTCCGACATCCGAGTAGCTGTCCCCAAAGGCAATGATCTTGGTGATGCCGAGGTTTCGCGCGTTGCAGGACTCCCGTGATTCAGACGCTGCCGCAGACGCGTAGGCGAAGGCGATGATAAACTTGACCCATCGCCTGGAAGGAACGTATGTGCTTAGGGTTTAGGGTTTAGGGTTTAGGGTTTAGGGTTTAGGGTTTAGGGTTTAGGGTTTAGGGTTTAGGGCCGGGCCATTCTTTGCCGATTGGTGCTTCTCCTGTCCGCGTTCGTTGAACGTATTCGCTTGTGGGATGAGATGTTTGCTCAGAACATGGACCGCTCCTTCTAAGGAAGCCGAACAAGACAACAAAGTAGATCATGCCAGAGGGGCCCGCCACCCTAAACCCTAAACCCTAAACCCTAAACCCTAAACCCTAAACCCTAAACCCCTAACCCCTAAACCCTAAACCCTAAAACTGTGATGAGACGTTTGTGGGCTCTGAGAGGCGAAGCGAAAGCACCAACATGTTGCACCAAGAGAGCCCCCCCCCCCCCCCTTGAAACCCTGAAAGCCTAAACACCCTGACTGTAGAAGCCCTATACTCAACGCCCTGAAAGCTTCAACCCTACCCAGGCCCCCCCCCCCCCCTCCCCAAACCCCCCAAACGAAGATACTACTAACCTCCCCGCAGCCTCTGAAGCCAAGCCCTAAACCCTAAACCCTAAACCCTAAACCCCAAACCCCAAACCCTAAACCCTAAACCCTAAACCCTAAACCCTTATGTCTCTGCAATCCTTCTGCGACCAAGGTCCGGACGGGTTTGGCCTCATCTCTGACATCGGCACTGTGAAGGCCGAAAGAAAGGGGCTTCTGGGGGATGTAGGAAGCCTAAACCCTAAAGGTTTAGGGTTTAGGGTTTAGGGTTTAGGGTTTAGGGTTTACGGAGGTTAGGGTTTAGGGGTTTAGGGGGTTTAGGGGTTTAAGGGGATTAAAGGTGAAGGGTTGTAAAGTTCACAGGCTTTTCACCCCTACACCCTCAACTCAGCTGCTTTGCTGATCGGAGGGTCTCGCAAGCAATGGAAGGTACTGAGCATAAACAAACTTAGCCAGCCACGTCCCTCAAGAGATGACGAAACCCTAAGTCCTCAGCCCTAAAAACCCTTCAAAACCTTCAAACCCTTCAAACCTTCAAACCCTTCAAACCCTTCAACACCCTTCAAACCCTAAAAACCCTTCAAACCCTTCAACACCCTTCAAACCCTTCAAACCCTTCAAGACACTTCAACACCCTCATGTGTCATGAGATGATATTCTATTCGGGAGAGGGTGCTGTCAACCTCTTGGCCCTGGGCCAAGTGTCGGCATCCACTTGGGGCCGAGGGTACAGGGGTGGTAGGGGTTTACGGGTTTAGGGGTTTAGGGGTTCAGGGGTTAGGGGTTTCAGGGGTTTAGGGTTTAGGGGTTTAGGGAAAAACTCTAGGACCTAAACCCTAAACCCGAACATCCTCAACCCTCACACCTTTAAACCCTAAACTGCAAGAAAAAAACCGCCCGCAAAACCGAACCCGAGATTTAGAATCACAAAACCGAAGCCCCTAGAAACGCCGCCCCAAGACAGCCCCATCCGAACCACACCTAGTATGGGGTTCACAGCGTTTGTAATCGTCATGATTTAGGGAGTTGTGCAGTTGAGGGGGCGGGGGTATTCTTGTAAACGCTAAATCCACTCTAAACCCTAACCCCACAAACCCTACACCCTAAACCCCAGACCCTAAACCCTAAACCCTTGAACCCTTGAACCCTAAACCCTAAACCTGAACCGAGATGAGAATGCATCCTTCCACTTCCTCGGAACATTAGGGTTTTAGTGTTCAGGGTACTTTTGTCCAAGAGCCCCGTTTTTTAGAAGGGACTACCCAGAGGGACGACTCCAGTTGAGAACAAGCCTAGATGGGGTTTCCCGACAATTTCAAGCGGGGTACACTGCGCTGCAACTCTACTTGTGACACTTGCGCCGCCAGCTTGACGAAAGAAAAGACGGGGCACAAACTGCCCAATCAGATCCAAAGCAACAAAAACTGAGATCAAGCTTGCGTACATGTCGCAACCAAAACCTGAGCCGGCCGAGAGAAGGAGATGAGGCATATGTGCGTGCTTCTGTCTTGTCTCGATACTCAACTCTGCATGAACAGTTGTTCCAGATTCTGGGACCCTGAAATATTAGGAGCATACTGATGGAATGTTGCATAATTCTCACTGCTGTCCAGGTGTCTTTATAAGAAGAACTAGTAACTAGCTCCATTGCAGATCTTCGGGACCTTCTAGGATCTGCTCTGTTTTCGTTCGCGGTGTCACTTCTCTCGGAAGGTCAAGGGTGAAAGACCCTAAACCCTAAACCCTAAACCCTAAACCCTAACCCCTAAACCCTATACCCTAAACCCTAATCTCACTGGATGCCTGCCGTTTGCTCAGAGAAGTCACCAGGAGATGCCGCCCGCAGCAAAAGCGGCTGATATGGACACTCGCCGAAATGTCCAATCCTGAGGCTTTAGGGCTTTTAGGTTTTTTTGGGGGTTTAGGTCTGAGAAGGATCCTAAACGAAGGACCCTAAACCCTAAACCCTAAACCCTAAACCCTAAACCCTAAACCCTAAACCCTAAACCCCAAGACCAAAGCCCTAAACCCTAAAGCAGTACACAAGCTTGGCATGCAAAGGGAGTTTTTGCTATCCATGCATCTTGTTCCCCTCCATCAGACAAGCCCGGGTCGCCAGGTATGCCAGGTCATCAGCCGAATGTGTGTAGCCGAGGAGACACTTCATGTAGTGGTGGCGGGCATACTCCCTCCTCTCCAGCAGTTTTGGTCATAGAACCATGCTTGACAATCACCCTAAACCCTAAACCCTAAACCCTAAACCCTGAACCCTGAACCCTGAACCCTGAACCCTAAACCCTAGGCTCTGGACGAGAACCGCCGACTAAGCAATGAGAGGGCTCCTGGATGGAGATTGGCAGCTGGTGGAGTTGCGATAGTTTGCCTTCTCTGTCCTATACTGAACTCGGAACCCTAGCAAAAACTATAACTTTAGCTGTTTCTTAGGAGTTAAAGTGCCCAAAAACTTAGAACCCAAAAACCTTAGAAAAAACATCCTGTAACTTTAGCTGTTTCTTAGGAATTGAAGTGCCCCCCCCCCCCCCCCCCCAAAAAAAAAAAAAAAAAAAAAACACACACACACACACACACACACACGCAATTCCATGTGTGCCTAAGTGTCACATACGGGACCCGGAGGTTCTCAGGGAGCTCCTGGCTCCCAGCACACAGGCTCATGGCCAGGAGGGGCATGTTCATGTCCTTGCTGACTCCGTTTAGGGTTTAGGGTTTGGGGTTTGGGGTTTAGGGTTTAGGGTTTAGGGGTTTCAGCCAGCAAAAGCTGCCCCCTTTTTCCCAATAAGCCTCGCAGGGCTTCGGGTTTCCAACTTTCAACAAAGAGGATGCTCCACTTTAAAGGGTAGGGCCCGCTCTCCCTAAGCCCTGCCATAGCTACCGCTAAGTGCGGCGGAAATTTGCGTAGGAAAAGTGGGGGAGGTGCATAGCAAACACGGTTTGGTAGTGCTAGCACTTAAGAGAGCCATCAAAGGCACTGCGCTAACTCGGGGAGAAGCTGTTCTGGGATTTCCGCATTCGGCAACTCTTGCCGGGTCTCCAGGACATCGCTGAAGACCATATCTTCACGAGTGAAGTGGTACTTTGCCTGCAGCTCATGGCACTTGGACTCGGACACGGCAATCCACGCAGTGCTGTTCTTGATGAGGCCAACATCCAGACCTGAGCAGAGATCCCGATGTCGGCACACCTACAATCCCAAAGGTCTCGGTGAAGCTGCAGACCCTCAAAAACCCGAAACCTCAGACGCTAAATGGCCCCAAACCCCCCAAAGCCCTAAACGTGGAGAGTAGGATGACCACGAAAAGCACCGGAGAGCTTGATGCGGTGCACCTTGGCCCTGCAAGGCTCCCAAAGAGTAGGCATACAGGTCGTCGTAGATGTAATGCATTAGGTCCATGTGGCTGAAGATCGTCTCACCCTCGAATCTATACGTGACTTCTGGGCCAGAGTCGAGTCCTGCGGGTGACCCTTTCTCCCCCCCCACCCCACCCGAAACCTACAAAAGAAGACTAAGAATGTGCAGGCTTACGAAGAAAACGACTGCGGAACGCTTCGGGATCTCCAACTATGCTGCGCAACGCGCCTTTGTAGTCTGGAGTCCGGAGTCCCAGAATACCGGAGACTGCCGAGGCTTCGAAGTTTGGCTCGGAGTAGTCTTCTCGCACGAAGATGTACATCGCACTGCCATTGAAGTAGCAAAACCCATCCATTCCAGGGTTCTCCGCCATAATATCCTGAATAGGCCGATTGCAGTCGGACCCGTGCGTGTGGTACCTTTGCTAGAGACAGTGAATCCCTAAACCCTAAACCCTAAACGGAGCCCCTACACCCCCCCAACCCTCAAATGCACTCGGGGCAGTCTGTGTCACTGTGACTGTCGTCTCCACAACCCTCGCAAGGTCCCTGAACAGCACAGTGCCCCAAACTGCCGGAGACAGAGCCCCTCTCTTCTTTATCAAGCCGTATAGCTACTAAATTGCTTAAGAACCCAGAAAACATGAAAATATTCTTCCTTATTAAGGTTAACATAGGGATTATGATTATTTCCATTCCTTTGGGGTTCTTAAGCAGCAAACAGTAGATAGTAACATGCACACACATCAGCGGCACAAAGGCGAGGAACTTGCAATTGTTGTTGAAGAAAGTCGTAGGATCGCCCACGCTCCCGGGAATGAGGTGGCCACATGCCTGGCATAGCCATGAGCTGGACATGGCTCTATGACCCCCTAAACCCTAAACCCTAAACCCTAAACCCTAAACCCTAAACCCCAAACCCGAAACCCTAATCGGCCAGACTCTATGAATGCCTCTCTCCTCTCTCTTCGTGATGAAGTTCTGTGAAGAGTTTCACTGTTCGAGCCTGACTCTCACTTCGCATGTGCGTGGCCGTCTGCAGGAACTGTGCCGCCTGACACTCCTCATCTTCCGAAGTGGAGACATCCTGGTGCTCAAACGGGGAAATTAGGGACCTATACATACCCTTTCCGGGAGTATATAGGTACCTCATTCCTGCATTCCCTGCTAAGAACCAGCCAGAAGAGAACTCTTCAGGGGCTTCAGAAAAGAAGATGTCGTATAACTAGGAGGCTCATCACTCGCAGGCAGCACGTATCACCTGTCCTGGCAACTCGCGCCGGCCGTACATATTGCGAAGAAACCTCGGACCAATGAATGTGGGTCCATCCAATGTAGGAGCCTGAATAGTTAGAATAGGGTTTGGGGGGTGATTATTGTATGCTTGTACCGGGGCCAGAAGGGAATGTTATTCGTAATTATTCCGACCCCTATAGTAGCAATGTGCTCTCAACGCGCATGAAAGCATCACAAAGCAATCGCAGTGTTGGAGAAAATGCTGCCCCTAAGGGCCATGTCTGTACAGCCTAAACACCTACAGCCCAGTGGAAGATAGATTTCGGGATTACTTAGGGTTCTTGGATTTGGGCGGCTGGCCGACTATGTGCTTCGACTGGTGACTACTAGTTACTAAGCGAGAACAAAAGCGTTCCAAACCCCGAACCACAAGCAAACCACCCTAAACCCCAAACCCTAAATCCTAAACCCCAAACCCCAAACCCTAAACCCTAAACCCTAAGCCCTAAACCCCGAAGCTGAGCCTTGAAAATGAGGCCGGCGCTGGCCAGAATCCAGCAGTACCACCACACCATGGGCAAGATCCTGCGACTCAGAGGGTTTAGGGTTTAGGGTTTAGGGTTTAGGGTTTAGGGTTTAGGGTTCGGAAGCACTTGAAGGCATACCTTTTCCCTGCCCATGATGCTCAACCTCCCTTTATCAAGGAATGTATGAGGCTACTAAACCCTAAACCCTAAACCCTAAACCCCAAACCCCAAACCCTAAACCCTAAACCCTAGGTTTAGGGTTTAGGTCCTAATAGGGCTTGTCGTAGCCCCCCTCTTATAATCCCTATTCAGGACTGTTAGTATAAGGGGGACCTTGAGTTTTGCTCAATCGCACTTGCCTTTGAGCGGCAGCACGCATTAGCCAGGTAAATGGGCTCTCGTTAAGCACACGACATGAGTGTCAACACACCTCATGTCAAACAACCGTGGGAATACAGGGTGTCACGTTAAGGGTTTAGAGTTTGTGGGTTTGGGTTCTTAGGGTTTTCAGGGTCTTTTCGAAGGGTTCGGAGGGTTTTCAGGGTCTTTTCGAAGGGTTCGGAGATGGGCTGGGGTTCTGCAAGTATGAACTGTCTGTGCATGTGCCTTGCACGCAGCACGCGAGAGGGCCGTCTCTCTGAGACTATGGCGGCAGACGGGTCGTAGAGACCGTGCGTTTATGCTCGGAGTTGCTATCTGTGGATTGGGGCTTATGAGGGTTTCGGGGTTTAGAGTGTCCCCAAGAATACCTGCATGTGGCTGCAGATTTGTCAAGCGCCGTGCTAGAGGTCGTGTAGCTTCTGGGTCATTGGAATCTCTGCCGGCAGGACTTAGGCTTAAAGCAGCCGTTTGCAACTTCCGCTTCAAAGCACTCAGGTGTAGATGTCCGGAATTTTAGGGTTTGGGGTTTAGGGTTTAGGGTTTAGGATGAATGGTGCGTCAAGCTCGTGAGATGCTGGATCCCCGACAGGCTGCAGATGCGTCAAGCAAGTCAGTGCAAGATGATGCTGTGCTTGACTTGTTGTGCCCTCTAACCGAGTCACCCCTGAAGATTTCCTGAACCCTAAACCCAAAACCCTAAACCCTAAAAAACACGGACAAACAACCATCAGAGGCCACCCCTGGAAAACTCCCCAGGTGATCTCGCACGCACCTACCTCAATAAGCCAAAATTCCGAGGCTCAACCTCCACACACGCACCTAATATAGGGGCCTGAATAATTGGGGAATACTATTCTAAACCCTAAACCCTAAACCCTTAGCCCTATTAGTCTCGCCCCTTGAGTCTATGTCAAAAAAAAAGTGAATACTTTTTTCTAGTTTTTGGGTTTAGTGTCACTTTAGGTGTAGGGCATAGGGCTCAGGGGATGCGAGCTGTTTTCTCTCTCGCAACTTCCATGCTGCCACCAGCCGGCGAGCTCCTGCAAGAGTTGGGTTCAGGGTTTAGGGTAGAGGGTCTGCAGCAGTTGGGTTCAGGGTTTAGGGTAGGGTCTGCAGGAGTTGGCTTCAGGATGGTCTAGGGACCCATTGAAGTAAACCCAGACCCCGAGCCCTAAACCCTGGCCGTCCCTCACTGGGTTTTTCTTGGGGTTTAGGGTGTATAGGGTTTAGCCAAATGGGTTTAGGGACCCATTGAAGTAAACCTAGACCCCGAGCCCTAAGCCCTGGCCATCCCTCACTGGGTTTTTCTGGGCGTTTAGGGTTTATAGGGTTTAGCCAAATGGGTTTAGGGACCCATAGTCATTGAAGTAAACCTAGACCCCGAGCCCTAAAGCCTGGGTTTTTCTGGGGGTTTAGGGTTTATGGAAGCAGGCGAAGCCTCGAATACCTTTTTCTGCAGTCAAAAACTCGGATCCAAGCACTCGTCTCAGAGACGCTTAGCTTTGCATGTCAGCAACGGCCCGGGCAGCAGATCTACTAAAGTAGGGTTACAGGTTTAGGTTGAGCACACTTAGCCACCAACACCCTGCCGGGCGGCCGGGGACACGCAGCAAATCAACTTTGGAAAATCACTCAGCTCCGTTCTCCGACTCGTTTGCCACGCTCGCCGCGCTCTCCACGCTCGCCGCGCTCGCCGTGCCGTCTCCGCGGGTCGCCGCGCCTGCTGCCACATTGCCGGCTCCGCCCATCGTCTCATCCATGATTTTCACCATTGTCTTGGCATCTCGCAGCAGCGCAGTTTCCTCGGCAGAGTTGTCGACCTTCCCAGCAGCATCCTTGCGAGCATCGCCGTACTCGTAGAGGAACCATCGAAGCTCGTCCATGTGATTGCCCATGTCTGCACTGAGCTTCTTCATGCGCTTGGCACGGGACTCGGTGTCCACCTCGCTCATCACCTCAGCCTGGCGCTTGGTCGTTAACGTTGTCATCATCACGCTCACTTGCACCGTGCCAGTGCTTGGCGGCAGCTGGTCCCCGGGAGCATACCAAAAGGCCTCGGGTTGTGGGTTTAGGGTTTTTGGGTTTTTGGGTTTAGGGGTAAGGGTTTAGGGTTAAGGTTAACAAAACCAGCACCAGCCCCAAAAACTGCTTTACATATTCTATACTTTGGTCAGGACGCCGCAATGGGCGACTTCTCGATGTGGATGAACTTCCCGACGGGCCCCTCATTGCGCCCAAACACCTTGAGCATGTACCTGGGCAGCACAGGTGCTTTAATTTCGTTTGGGGCAACGCGTTTGCGATTTTAGGCTCTAGAGCGTTTAGAGTTTTGACTAAATGGCCATGACGGCGGGCATGGTTTGGGGATTTAGGGATTTAGGGTTTAGGGCTTAGGGTCGTGTCCAGCGGCTTCTTCCCCGGCAGGTCTTCTGGCTCGGTGACCCAGAGGAGCATTGCCAAAGGCTCAAGACGTGGCCACAGGATCGCAGCTTCGTTCACTGTCTCCAGGTGGGTTTTCAGGTGCCTCCCACGAGCAGCTTACACCCTGCCTAATGAACCCAACCTTAGGGCTAAACACTTTTTTATGCAATGAGACCGACCTCTTGAGCAAAGTCTCCACACGCCGCGTCTCCGCTGAGCCAGCCATGTACCATGTGTACACCGTACTCTTCGGATCATCGATCGGAACGCACACCACGTCCAGCTTGACCTTTGACACCTCGATGTTGGCCCAGCTACACTCGCTGAAATCCAGCTGTGGCACCTTCATGGTGCCAGAATTGGTCAGGATGACTGTGCGATCCTCGACTCGGCCCTGCATAGCCTCCACAGACAGAGAAATGATGGAAAAAACCTTGCTCGTCAGCAAGCTGTACGCCACCATGCTTGTCTTTGGCTTCTGCAGCTTCGCAGACCAATCCACACCAACCCTCAGGACTACTGTCAGGGTTGGGTTTCGCAGGATTGGGCTTCGGGTTGGTCGAGGGTTTCAGGTTCCGGGCTTAGGGTTATCCGCAGCCAGGTAACTTTCGGCCAACGTGCTTGATCTGGTCCTTGATGGCAGCCTCCATGGAAACATGGAACTCGAGGTTCTTCATGTACATCTCCAGGCTGCCGCTGCTGGTCATGGCATGGAACCAAGTCTGCGCCATTGTGGCCAAGCGCAGCGGTGATCCCGAGGCTCACTTGATTGGATGTAGGCGCTACGGACACGCGTCATCGGTCCATGTCTACCACATGACACTCAACCCAAAGCAACACCCAAACCCTGAATCATCAACGCTACGCAGCCTCTCATTCCTTAAAACGCTCTAGAAGTACTCATGGGGTGCCTGATTGTTCTCACGGCCTCACCACGCCCACGCCCCCAAAAGCACAGAAGCCCCTCAGAAACTTTAGGTTGGTTCAGGTTTTTGAACTTGGATTTGGTCTTCTGGTTTGGAGTGTGGTGACAACTCATGTCGCTGCCCTGATGAGGGGTTAAGGCTTTGGGTTGCCCTAAACCCAAAACCCTAAACCCTAAACCCTAAACCCTAAACCCTAAACCCTAAACCCTAAATCAAAACACTAAACCCTAAACCGATATAAACCTATAAGGCCCAAACCCTGAACCCTAAAACCCTAAACCCTAATCTCCCCTGCAATAAACCCTCAGGGACTATTGAAATTGCCTAGCGCCTACCCGAAAACACCAGGCCCTCAAGCAAAGTCCTCTCCAGGATGCCAATCCGGACGCGCAGGGTTGCCGGGCAGCTGCTGGCAAGGTCACCTCCACGCTTTTGGTTTGGGGTCTTGGCTTCAGGGTGAGGGACCTTGTCCATCATGACTGTTACTGAGATGATACTAAAACCCACCCCCACCCCCCAATTCTGAAATTCGCTTGGGCCGGAAAATATTTAAGGCGGGGCCAAAACCCTGAAACCGGAAAACCAGGCCCAAGGAGGGAGTCTGCGGTTCGGGGCTTGGGGTTTAGGGTTCATTTAGTAGCTTAATAAACCCGAGTGAAACCCTCGAAGCCCTCAGCCCTAAACCTTGAAACCCCCTCAACCCCCCCCCCATTATCACAGGTTTGGTAATGGGCTGGGTGCTGGTGCGGTCCGGGACAAACAATATTTAGAATTAGGGGGGTTAGTATCAGGGGAAGGGATTAGACACATGAACGCTTCTCTCATGTTGATGGTTGATCTTGACTTACACGATTAATCTACTGTCTTGCGCTCAGGGGGAAGGGCGTATCTGTGCTCTCCAACCCCAACCCTCGCACGCTCTTTCGTAGCGCTGCGCCCACCCATCACTTCTCGCCTTTGCCATTGCTCAGATGGCCTTGCATGTTCTGGTACACGCTGTCGGGATCCCGTCACTTCTCGCCTTTGCCATTGCTCAGACGGCCTTGCAGGCGCTGGTACACGCTGTCGGGCACGCCATCTGTTTCGATGCTCTCAACACACTGCTTCCAGTTGTCAGCCGGAAGCTCGGAGATATAGCCGGCCCACAAGAAGACCTGCCGCAGCACCCTTTCCAGCACACAAGTGGGTATGCTGTTGCCCAAAGCTCGCCCAAGCTGAGAGTCGCTGACCCCCGACGTCGCCATTGCGTTCCAAATGCCAGGCATCACTCCTCCACACATGCAGCGGAACCAACGGTAGTGGTAGTGGTAGTGGTAGCAGTACGTAGTACTAGAAGGAGTAGTAGTAGTAGTCCTTGAAGGCCTGCCATCTCTCGCAAGGTCATAAATCGGTGTCGCCCTGGAAGGTAATACCTGGCTTGGCAGGCGGGGGCCATGACATCAGGGGTTCAAGTGCTCTAACTTAATGCCAGCCCAAAACCCCTAGAAGCGGACGAGACCATGACAACCCCCTAGAAGCGGACGAGACCGTGACGGCCCAAAATCCCCAGGGATGAGGCGAGCGACGCCCGAGAGGCTCCTCTGGTCGCTGTCACGGTTGGCACCATGCCCACAAGAGCTCGAGCATGCTGCCCTGCTCCCACATCCACGACAGCGTCGCGGTCCCTGAGCCGCTTTCCAAGTTTCTGCTTTGCCTGCGCAATGGGTTTAAGGTTTAAGGTTTTAGGGTTTAGGGTTGAGGTAGGAATGCATACCCACAACAGCAGCAGGAGTACCAGTAGTAGTAGTAGTAGTAGTAGTAGTAGTAGTAGTAGTAGTAGTAGTAGTAGTAGTAGTAGTAGTAGTAGTAGTAGTAGTAGTAGTAGTAGTAGTAGTAGTAGTAGTAGTAGTAGTAGTAGTAGTAGTAGTAGTAGTAGTAGTAGTAGTAGTAGTAGTAGTAGTAGTAGTAGTAGTAGTAGTAGTAGTAGTAGTAGTAGTAGTAGTAGTAGTAGTAGTAGTAGTAGTAGTAGTAGTAGTAGTAGTAGTAGTAGTAGTAGTAGTAGTAGTAGTAGTAGTAGTAGTAGTAGTAGTAGTAGTAGTAGTAGTAGTAGTAGTAGTAGTAGTAGTAGTAGCAGTAGTAGTAGTAGTAGTAGTAGTAGTAGTAGTAGTAGTAGTAGTAGTAGTAGTAGTAGTAGTAGTAGTAGTAGTAGTAGTAGTAGTAGTAGTAGTAGTAGTAGTAGTAGTAGTAGTAGTAGTAGTAGTAGTAGTAGTAGTAGGTGACACGCTCTTAACTGATCATGGTGTTTTCTGCTGTTTTTTTACTTTTTCTATCGTTTTCTCCTGTTTTTCCTCCGTTTGACGGGTTGGGGGGGGGTGGGGGGGTGGGGGGTAATTACGTGCTGTGCTTTGTGCACACATGACCACGCTCAGGGGTTGGGGGGGGGGGGGAATTACGTGCTGTGCTTTGTGCACACATGGGGGTCGTGCTGTGCTTTGTGCACACATGACCACGCTGTCTACTGTTTTCCTCTGTTTTTTTGGTTGGTTTAGGGGCTAGATCTTTTGGGCTCACAGTGGAGGGTTGAGGATTTGGGGTTTCAGGGTAGAGTATTTTTCGGGCCTGTTTTGGGAACCTTTTGGGCTTCCACTGGAAATATGGGGTTTGAGGTTTCAGGCTACAGATCTTTTGGGTTTTTTTCAGGCTACAGATCTTTTGGGTTTTTTGGGCATTTGGGGTTTAGGGTTTCCGGGCAAGACCTTTTGGGCTCACAGTGGAGGGTTTCCGGGCAAGACCTTTTGGGCTCACAGTGGAGGGTTTAGGGTTTGGACCTTCAGGGTAGAGACCTTTTCGGGTTTTTTGGGATTTGGGGTTCAGGGTGTAAGGGTAAGACCTTTTGGGCTCACAGTGCAGGGTTTAGGAATCTTTTGGGCTTTTTTGGGATTCACAGTGGAGGGTTTAGGGATCTTTTGGGCTTTTTTGGGATTTGGGGTTGAGATTTTAAGGGTGCACGACTCTTGGGCTTGCTTCAGGTTTTGGGGTTTCGGATTTCAGGGTGCACGACTGTTCGGCTTGCTGGAGGCGTTCGGGTTTAAGGACAAGTGTGGCCACATCTTAGAAAACCCGCGAAACGCTGTAAATACCGGTCTTTTCCTCTGTTCTGAGAACACGTATGCGCAAAGTAGGCCCTGTAATTGACCGTTTTTGAAGCCCGAAAACACTGTAAATACCGATGTTTTCCTCCTGTGCCTAAAGTAGTTGAAAGTAGTTTGCGGGACTTTTTACACGTCCATTTTTCGTGTCCGTAAACGGACAAAGCCAGGAAACACTGTAAATACCGAGGTTTTCGGCTCTTAACACGAAAATGGCATGCCACAAAACCCCTGCGATCAATTAAGAACGTCACGCCTAGTAGTAGTAGTAGTAGTAGTAGTAGTAGTAGTAGTAGTAGTAGTAGTAGTAGTAGTAGTAGTAGTGGTAGTAGTAGTAGTAGCAGTAGCAGTAGCAGTAGCAGTAGCAGTAGCAGTAGCAGTAGCAGTAGCAGTAGTAGTAGCAGTAGTAGTAGTAGTAGTAGTAGTAGTAGCAGTAGTAGTAGTAGTAGAGTAGTAGTAGTAGTAGTAGTAGTAGTGGTAGCCGCAGCGGTAGTGGTCGAGGTAGCAGTCGTGGTG